GCTGGGGGTTGGGGGCTGATGTTGGTGACATGTAGGGGCTTTACGACAAATCAGCTTCCCTCTTGGTGGTCTGGAGCCAGAGCTGGAGCCAAATCGGTTTAGAGGTGTGGAGGTTGGGTGGTTACAACCATTTCTTGCAAGAACTAGGAGTTCAATTCCCAAAACCTGAGAAACCAAAATGGTTTGGGGTTTTTGAGGTTTACACAACATCAATTTCGGACCATTTCTTCTCCGGACCAATCCCAAACTCAGGGTTGCCTTTGGGCCCGGAAAAACTCCCCAGAGGCCGTGTGTGTGTGTGTGTCTCCTTTAAAAAATATCCCCACAGCAACACTCTGCAACCTGCCTTTCCGAGAACCGAAAGGAGAAACCGCGCTTCGCTGTTCCGGGGGATTAAAAAGTCCGATCGCAAACCTGGGGTACACATCCCACACATAGGATTGGGACTGGCGCCTCCCCCCCCCCACCCCCCCCCCAAAAAAAACAAAAACACGGAACTAAGCCGACGGCGCTTGATCTCCTCGACACGCTTGTCGATGACTTGGCGCCGGACTCGCTTCGGCTTCCCCCGTTTCTCTTACCCACACCCCGAAAAGTGGGCGCGCCTTTGCTGAAAGACCCCCCAGAATGGCTGGTGTTCCTTTTGGTTTCCCGTTGAAACCACCAAAAAGGGGGGCGTCTCACAAAAGACACACCCAAGTGGGATCTCTTTTGGAGAAAAGGGCCAAAGGGATGTGACACCCCCAAAAGTGGCCTTTGGGTGGTCTTTGGGTAGGGAGACTGGTGGCAATTTGAAACCCACGGCCAAAGTCAGGGAGGTCCTTCCGCCCCCTGGAAAAAAAAGAGAATATTCAAGTAGTGCCAGATTCCCATTAAAAAAAAGAAGAAGAAAAAATGGCCAAGACGACACACTCTTTCAGCCAGTAGATTCCCTTGAAAGCCGCCAGGAGAAAATGCACCATTTTCAGCCAATGGAAGCCGATGTCTTGAGTCGGACACCTCCAAGGGTTTTCCTGGTGCGAAATGGATTTCGTCCAGCAGCATCAAGGCATTTCATGGGCATGGGGCAAATTCACACCACCACGATAACCACGGGTTTCCATTTTGGGCTCCATTTTGACTACCCATGATTGACCCACAGCCATATAGAAAGGTCAGGACAACCCGTCATCTTGCGTCATACAAGCCAGAAGTCTCCTCCTTTTTTTCACGCGGGGTCGCTGAGCGAGCAATCGGAACCCGCTTCTGACCTCTGATCTGAGGGTCCCTGATCCTATGCGAGTGTCAAAATCACCGCCGTGACAGGTAAAAGGGAACAGATGGGAACAGCTGATGTTGAATTCTTTCAGCCGTCACGAAAACCAATGAAACTACTGCCGCAGCCAACGCGGGCCTACCCCAAAGCCTTGGTTGCTGCTGACCCCCCTGCAAAAAGCTTTTCACTTGTTGCGGGGTTTAGTGGAAAACCCCCTTGGTTTCTAAAAAAAAGCAATAGCAGTCAAGAAGAGACCTCAACTGCGGTTTTGGGTCTGACAGGACCCTCTCTCGGCGCCCGCGCATTCGTACTCGGGCTCGGCCATCGAGGCCAGCCGGTGGCAACCGGTCTCTTGAAGGAACCCTTGGGGTGGGTTAGCCCTGTGGGCGGGATTCCCCCGTGGCAAAGCAAAAATGGAATCCCCTTACATGGCACCTTACATGGAAACAAAAACACCCGCAGTTTGCCCCAGCTGGTTCATTTTGGGCCAAGCCCGTTTAAGGAAGGGTGGGTTTCAAACTCACTCAAGTGGGACGGCCCAGAAAAAAAACCAATTGCTTATGTACCACCTGGTCTTCCCAAAAAGCATGTTCAGAAACTCGGGAAGCGAGGAAAAAGGGTAACCTTTTGGGGGATTTTTTGTTAAAAAAAATAAAAAAAAAAAAAAAAAAAAACTTGGGGCCCACCGATACGGCAAGTGAGGGAACAAGGAGCCTCCCGAATTAAGTCGCAGCCTGCCCGTGTTGACAAGGGGAGGTTGCCCAGTATCACGGCGAGCACCAACCCGTTGCTCCAAAAGAAGGGAATATAGGTAAAATCCTGGCCACATCATGTTGCTAATACTTTCCCCCAGCGAAAAGAAATACTGCCAAGTAACTTTCAGCCGCCCATCTTTTGTTTTCAATGGCGGGCATTTGCAGCTTGCGCCAGGCGGTTGGTTCTCCACCTAGCCCTTTTCTCGGAAGATCCCGTGTTGGTTGGTGATGTGGATTTGGTTCAAACCCAAGCATACCGAGCCTCGGAAAAGACCAACCCTCAAGCCCCTTCTTTCAGCCCGCGGCGCTGACGGCTTCAATTCGCCGGGCGCTGGAGCCGAGAACGCCGGGGCGCGGCATCGGTGCCGAGAACCGCCCAGAGGCCTTGATGATTGGTTGGTCGCCTGGTTGTTCGGTTGGTCGGTCAGTCGGGTCGGTCTGTTGCTCGGTCGGCTGGTTGGTCGCCAGGTTGGTTGGTTGGTCGGTCGCCTGGTTGGGCGGTTGGTTGGAACAATTGGGGTTAATTGGGGGATGCACAATGAGCTTTTGAGCATCCATGAACCTGGGCTTTGCAGCCCGAGCTGCTTGCCCCGTTTTCAAGGTTGCTCCCATCCAACCGTCACAAGCGGAAAAAAAAAACACAAAAAAAAAAAACATGGGCCCCTAAAAGCAAACATCGGGAAGCCGTCCACCAATGATTACTTGAGGCCTCATCTGGCTCGGAGGAACCGTTTTTATTGTTAGTATGATTGTTATTATTATTATTTGTTATTATTATTACTATTATTATTATTGTTATTATTAACAATGAAAAGTGCCCCACAAGAGTGTCTATCGCGCCGTTTTTAGTTGGAACAACGTCCCACATCAGACCTGCAAGGAAAGAAAGGATACCGCCCCCCGCTTTCATTTGCCTAATTTAACAGGGTTTCCACCCGCAAAGGCAGACATGCAATATGCACAGTGCACCGTATACCCGGTAATTAGTTGTACTTTCCCAGTGGTCTTTCTAAATCCTTGTCCGAGTCACCTGATTTACATTTCGCACCATTATTGGCCTTTAGAGTTGTGGAAACCCGTGAACCTCTGGAATCAACAGAGATAAAGCGGAGCCAAATGGTGATGGCGGTCGAAACCAAAAAAGAAAAAAACAACAAGGGAGCTCGATGGGCGGAGGAAAACTGGCACCGTTGGAGGGAAGCGCGAAGGCTGAAGCGTTTCCTCAGTTGTTCAGTGACCCTGGGAAAAAAGGGAACCCTTTTTGCGGCTTGGACAATTTTAGTGGGGCCACCAAAAAAAAAAGGAAAAAGGGAGCCACTGAACAACTGAGTTTCAGAAGCCTAAGAAGCACTCTTCCTCGGTATCCCTTGCGGCCCGACGTTGTCAACGTCGAAATGGCAAATCTAAGCGAACGGCATGCGTCTGTGCAAGATGTAACAGCAGGTGGTGGCAAACCAGTCCAGCCAGACATGCATCGGGCAACGTGTATCAGCAACATGTGTGGAAAATCAATCCAGCCCGAATAGGTCGTCGACCCTTGGGCTTGAAATGTGGCAACATACCCCAACCCCTATGGAATCCCGAAGGGGGGGATTACAAGGGAAGTGGCTAGTTGAGAGCCTCCTTCGGGTTTGCTGCCACCCCGCTTGGGGATTCCCCAAAAAAGGTTTAAGGGAAACAACAACCTTGCGGATTCCTTTCGAAGCGCTCCAACTGGTTGGGGGCCGGGAAAACAAGTATGGGTTTTAGTGATGGATCAAACAACAAACCAACTTGAGGGTGTTTGAGCCTGCTCAGGGAACGGGCTTTTGGGGGTCTTCAAGCACCCATAGTGAGTAACACTCAGTTAGCACTGTTTGTCCAACTGTTAGCACATATTTGGACTGGAATCGGGAGCGATTTGCCGTCGGACACCAGCAAGGCACGTGATAGAATTGGGGCCACCGAAAACCTGAATGCGATCAAATACCCAATGCGAGGGAGGGGGGGGGGGGTTGAGAGAAACTACATGTTCTGATACGTGCTTACTGCATGCAACGCAGTAAACATGTCGCGGTTGTGTAGCTAGTTTCTAAAGCCAAAAGCAGTCAAATTTCGCACACTCTAACGCCCGCGGAAGCAAACATATATTGCATGCTAACGCAACAACCCCGTTTTCTACCAACAACCCAAATCCAAAATCCAAGTCCAAGAGGGAGAAGCGAAAGGAGTAAAAATTGTTGAATTGCAACCCCTGTTTCTCATGGAGAAAGCGAAGAAAAGAAGCGCAATACCAGAACACAATGTACCAGCACACCATGTACCAGCACACAGCGGTCTGCAAGGACATCGGCACTTCGCCCAACTTGTCGTTCCAAGCATGGATCTAATGAATGAAAAACATGAACTTTGGCACTGTGAAGATGCTTCTCGGTTCTGAACTTGAAGATTTGTTGAGTTTGGGGGTTCTCGAACAAGGGCATGGCAAGGAGTCGGGAAAATAATTAAGAAAATGCAAGTAAAAAAGGTTCGCGTGGGTCACATGAAATTAGGGGGGCCTGTCAAACAACATTCGGGGACCAATAGAGAAAACCGGTAAAACAATCTGGGGGTCAGATTGGCTTTGCCCAAGCTTGGTACTGGCTTAGAATTGGTTTAGTATTGCTGAGACCCCATAGCTTTCAACTGTTGTTCAAGAAGGCCCTCCTTTTGTGTGCGCTAGTCATCCGTTCAACCAGAAGGCTATCTCTGTTTTTGGAGAAAACCCAACAAAATCCATTCGCTTTCCCTTTTTTGCCTTCCCTTTAAAGTCACAAAACGTCCGTTAAACCATGAGGGTACGTCTTTTTTTCTCGTACCAACTCACAACAACTAGGTCCTCCAGTAGAAAGGTTAGAATAAGGCTACCAACCTTTTTTTCCGGTAGTCTATTTTAGTGGGGGAACCCTCCCCCAAAAAAGGGTCAAAGGGCACTACTAAGTGACCTAGACAAGAAGATGAGCCACTGCTGCCTGGCACAAGTCCAGCGCCGAGCGCCGGCTCTCGCCGCTTCTGAGCCTCGGAGAATTCGATCTCGCGAAAAGGAGAAAAGGCGACGCCGGCTGCAAGGGTGAGTTTTAGGGGGGGTTGAGACTAGAAGCTTGTTTTTTGTTGTTTTTGTTTTTGCGTTTTCAGGGTGTTAGGGTGCATGCCCAACTAGAATGTGTGTGTGTGTGTGTGTGTTTTTTTAAAGGGTGTTAGGGTGCATTCCCAACTAAGAATGTGGTTTTTGAGGGGGTTCATTGGGTGTTTGAGGGCTTCAGGGTCTTTTAAGGGAGTTGAGCGGCCTTGTGATCGCTGGCCTTGTGCAAAAGCACCAGTTTGGAACTTTTTGCAAGAATCAACCGGAGCAATTTGAAAGGGATCTGAACATACCAGCGCTGCAGGGTATAGGCATACCGATGTGTAAGTACACATATCATGTACTTGAGAGGATGGTCAACGAGAGAGAAGGGAGGCTGGACCTTGTGAAAATGCACACGCACAGCCCCCCCTGGTCATCTCCAATATCCAGCTCAAATTTGCTAAACACAAAGCAGTTCCTTAACAAAAACCTGCACGCGCCAGGTTGCAGCGCTCAAGTTTTGCTCTGCGGCCTGTTAGCTGCTCTTTAATTATACTCGCGCGCACGTCAGCAACATCGCCACCGGCAGAGTCTCCAGTTCAGGCGCCAAGCCTTTGGAGCTTAATCCAAGCTTTTGCGCTCTTGAGGGGGGAGGGGGGGAAAGTGACTAATTGATCAGACCCTTTGGGGTCCCCCATTCGACCCTCATTTCCTATGAATCAGTGCCGAACCTGGTAAATCGAGATTTCAGCCGCTCAGAAAAGCTGAGGCAAAGGAGAACGCCAGCTTAGCTCCCAGGGGCTAGCTTTCGTGGCATTTTAGGGAAGGAACACATCTTTTTGGCAGAACCCAGACGCTCCCATTCGATGAATGCATGGGCCCTCAAACACCCGGGTTTTGAGACCCCCAAACACCGAAGCGGGGTATAGCGGGGTGTCTAATGGAGGGGTCGGGTCTTGCATTGAAAGCCCCAGGAGCCAAGAATAAGAGTAGCAACTTGGCCAACGTTCAACCCAGCACCTATAGGGTTAGTTGTTCGTTCTTTTCGATGGTTCGAAACGTTTCCCGGCCTTTGGTGGTAACTCTGCGTTGCCCCAAAATGGCACAAAAGGTGATCGCCTTTCGGGACCCGTAGAGGGGAACAAAAAGTGGACCACAACTGACAAACCAAAAAGTCAGATCCGGTCGCTTCGCTGCTTTGGATTTTGGATTTGAAACCCTGGCTCTTCTAGATAGATGGGTTTACAATCACCAAACCACCGGAATCCAAACCCACTTGGAAAGCTGAAGTAACCCCTGGTTCTTGTGGATAGCTGGTGCTTCTTTCCCACAAATTCAAACCACGCCACCGAAATCCAAACCACTTGGAGCTTTCAGAACTGGGACCCCCACAAAAAAGAACACACCACTTGGAGCTGTAAGGGCTGGGAGCCCTCAAAAAAAAAAAACCTGAACCCCCGCGGTTGTTTTTTCTCCCCGGGGCCGGCGCTGCTCGAAGAGGTCTCCGCTGAAGAGCTCCTGCCACACCGCCTGCGGACGCTTCTGGCGAAGAAAGTGGCTGCACGTCCAGGTGTGAGGTGTGGTCAGGTTCCTTCGGTTGAACCACCCCTATGTTTTTTTTCTCTTTTTTTAGAAAAAACGGAAAGGAAAAAAACGATGGCGTTGGTGTGTCGTCTTTTTTTTTGTTCAGCCACCCCGAAAAACTGGTTTGGAGTGTCCTGTCTTTTAGGTTGGACCACGTCTAAAATAGGTTCCTTAGGTTGAACCACCCCGAAGAAATGATGGTTTTGGTGTGTCGGCTTTTTTTGGGTTGGACCAGCCGGAAAATGTAAGCTGGTTCTAGGTTGGACCAGCCCGAAAACGGATTCTGGTTGTCCTTCCTGGTTTCCCAGGTCCGACAAAAAATGGCAGGCAAGTAAATAGAGTTCATTGAAAGGTGGCACAATCTCCCCCGTGCTTATTGCGTCGTACTCTCAACTTGCTGACGCAAGGGGCAGGGTGCCATCAAATCTTGGACGTTCCTTAAAGGATGCACCCAAAAACCACCGCAAATCCTCGCAAATCCTCTTCCAAGTTGATTTCTTTGCCCCAAATCCATCAAGGTACCCGGTTCGATCAGGTCCGGCCCAGGGAGCACCTGCGGAAGCCCCCGTCACCCTGCGGGGCACCATTTCTTGGCAAACCGCGCTTCCTACAGTTCAGCACGAGGTTCCCCATGCGCTCTCCTTTGGATTGAAAAGGAGATGTGGATGGGTGAAGCGCATGCCGGATTTTGTCCAGCAAGACCTTTCTAGGCCATTTAGGCTTACTCCCAAATCAACATGGAATCTAAAAACCACCCGCTTGAGGATTGCTTTGTTTTGGGGAAGCCCCTGCAAGGCTTTGTTTTAGAAAAAATGACAGACTGATCTTGGGTCAAATGCAAGGCCGCTGGGCACGCAACCGGATCAGTAGAGAGGTTGGAATAAGGGTACCCTTTTTCTGTAGTCTAGTCCCTCCCCCAAAAAATGAAACGGTTTACGGGCACCTAGCTGGGGGACCTAGCATCACTCCACGGCTTAAAAAACCAATCCGCAGTCCCGCTTTTGGAGCCTGCGGCTACAGTACCCTTCCATTGTCGGGTTCAGAGCCATTGGGGAGCGGATCGGAACGCGTCACACTCCATGAAGATGGTCCCTGAATGACAGTCAGTTAAAAGCATCCCCCCTACCTTAAATGGAAGCCCCAATTCCATTTATGTAGCCCTCCCCATAACAGGGAAAATGGAGCCACAACTGGAATTCCAGGGTCACCCCCCTCCCCCAATTCCATTTTTGAAGGGGTGGGGAGTTAAAAGCGTCACTGGGTTGGTGTGGCTCCCCTCGCGCGGGCCTTTTCACCATTCGCGGACCTAGACATGTCAAATGACATGTGCGAGTTGTTTTCAGGCTTGGACCCCTCAAAATGGAGGTCGGTGGTCCTTTTGGCTTCTCGAAAAACCGCCCCAAAAGGGATGCCCTGTACAACTACCAAAAAAGGGGGGTTCACGACGCGGCCACCCAAATAAGCCCCTTTTTTCGACGTCGATTTTCCAGCCTTGAGCGAGGGAGGACCCTGCGATGCGATGTGGAACAAGTGATGCATCTGCTCCTAACAATGCGGGTGACTCGCTTTGTTGTTGAGGGAGCCTCGGTACTCCCTGTGCGTTTGGTTTCAACGGGGAACCAACGGAAAAGCAGAATCCACTTTTTGGGGGTTAAAAGGGGAACCAAAAAGCAAAGCCAACATTCAATTTGGGGGTCCAAATCCGAAAAGGAGACACACTCATGGAGGGACACATTGAACTCTGGACTCGAAAGAGCCCCCAATTGTAAACTCGCATTCGGACCGTGAATACGGAGGTTCCCTTTAGGTTGAATTTGGCCGTTTTGTTTTGTACAGAAGTGACATATCATATCCAACCCTCACCTTCCGCAGAAGTAAGGGCTATTGGGGCCTTGTTGAGGCCTTGTTTTTGTTTGTTATTTCTCTCTTCTTCTTCTTCTTTTTTTGGGGGGCGGGTTCCACCCAGGTGAAAAGAGGTGCAAAGCGGCATTTGACATGTGGCCATGGGTCAACATCCAAATCGTACCCCCAGTGAACATCCCAATCCCCACTAAAATAGACTAAAATGGGTGGTGCACCTACCCCAAAATGGCACCATTGGTTTTGACCCACAGCCATGTATTTGATAGGCATAAGGACTCGAGGGGGGATCCTAGAGTGGGGCGCAGAATAAAAACCTGCAACGCCCTGAGTGGCTGAAGCAGTTGCCCAGGATTAATAAACCCATCCCATTTTTTTTGGGGGGGGTGTTCCCTCCAAAAGTGATGAATCCCCACTAAAAGAGGATACCCCCATATTGATCAACCAGGGGTTTATTAATCCGGGGTTAACATTAAGCATTTGCCCTCCCATCCTGAGCGCCGTCCAGGCACCGCAGTTGCACAAATGAGGAGCTTCGGCAGGTGAAGCGACCCAGGGCTTCGACACTGAGTTCACATCAGTGGCCCAGAAGGCCAGCGACTTCTCGAAGAAGCCCTGGTGCCAAATATCTGCGAAAGGCCACACACCCTCTGCCCAGGGCAGGAAGCATCGCTTCTCGATGAAAGCAGGCACAAGGCCCGCAAACGGCCCGCAAGGCGGCTTCATCGACTGACACCACGTTTCAATGATACCAGTTGCAGAAACCACGGCTGTGGCAACCGAACATTCTGGGTTGGCTGTCTGCTTGTAGGGAGGTCCGGGGTCCCCAAATGAGTGTATAGGTTGTCTTTGATTTGCATCCCGCAATCACTTTCTCGCTAAGCGTTTGGCTGCGAGCTGTTTCAAAGACAACCGTCAAGTAGTTCAGCCTCCACACCAACATTTCGATGTTGATGATGTCCAAGTCTGGTACACAAAAAGGACCTCAGTTGATTCTGAAAGCCAGCATGATTTGGTTAAAGCCATGCCATGGAGGTAATAAGCGTTTTACTGACCAAGGGGCGCACATCTTTGCACGCAGCGGGAAATGCCGCAGCTTGCATTGGCTCGTGGTTCCCGAGTGCCGAGTGCTCTGGGCAATCACGCCAAACAGGGCACAAACAAGTGAACATTTGCAGTTGAGATGCACCAGAAGGGTACAACAGCTTCGAGCAGGCATGATTCAGGCAGATTGAGATACCTAAAGCTTTTAGCTTTTATACCCTCAAATACCCTCAAATACCGCACATGGGCAAGGAGCAGTGTTGATTCAAAATGGCTTCAACAAAAGAAACAAGAACTTACAAAAGCCCAAACACGAGCTATTAGATCAAACAACAAATATGAAGAGCTATCAGAAGGCGGTCTTTTGAAGATTGGCCTTCGAGCTAGTTTCACCTGGGTGTTCCCAGTGGGGTGCCCTTTGCAAATTCCTGTGCAACATCCTGAGGGCCTGGGCTGGGAGGGGAGAGGTGGCGCTCAAAGGCCCGGGGTTTGTCAGGTAAGTTGGTCATGGTTGCAACTCGCTTGATCGTAAGTCCCGTACTTGGGTTGCAACCAACTCGACTTTCCGAGTACCGACATGCTGGGTATGGGGTACTGCATTTTTCAATGAAATGCCGAATGATGTCAGGTCCTTTGCCAGGTGAAAACCTTTCTTGAAGAGCCTTCGTGTGGCGGAGGTGGCTCCTACGCCTGGATTTAGCCTGCCCCAAAATGCAAGATAATACTCAGTTGCCCAAAGGACCCAGAAATAAAAGGTTAACCTTTTGGGGCCATGACTAAAAATGGACCAAAATCGGAAAACCAAAAGGTTAAAAGGTCGGCTTTGGGCAACTGAGAATATGCAAGAGTTTTGGAGGAGAACCCAGCTCACGTCTTCGGTGTCCGGACTTGAGATCACTGGGTTAAACCAGCCTGCTGTGAACCATCCTGAGTCTGAGGGATGCAAGCCAGAAACCATCTATAGAAAAGTATACCTTCCCAGACTCAGACTCCAACCCCCCCCCAAAACAAAAGAACAAACCAAAAACAAACAAAAGCCCAAAAAGCAAACTTCTTCGGTGTACCCCAGCGCCGCCGGCGGTATGTCTTCGCCGGGGCGGCTTGGCAAGCCGCCGGAAAGCTGGGCACCCCGACGGAGACATCAGCCTCCTCGGCCTGCTGAAAGATCATGCGGTACCTGGCCGGGCGCTCGCATAGGTCACCGGTCACCGGCTCAATCGTAGGTGTCCTTTTTGGGGGGGGGGGGGAGTGGGGAGGGCGGAGTAGTGGTGGCCCTGGTTGAGGATTTAACCACCAGGTAAACCAGGAATCGCCATCTATTTTGGAAACCAAAGCAACCAAAAAGGACACCTATGGGCTCAATATACGGAAAACCACATGGGGGTTCAACCAAAGAGAACCTCTCTCTCTGCCGTTGCCTCCAGAGGGTCTTGACTCAACAAGGCAACGAAAAAGGTGCCCACTGATACTCAGGGGCACCAACAACATACTAGAACAGCCCGGGCAGACATCAAGCAGGAGCCGGAAGGATCACCGGGTATGGATTTGTCAATGGACAATCCTCAATGGATTTGATTTCAACCAAGTGAGAACAAGTCGAAAAAAGATTAATGGCAAAGAAGACAAAAGGTCGAAACCTGAGTTGGTCGGAATACTCAGGTGTGAACTTGCTTGGCTCAAACCTGTGGATTGCCTAAAACCAACCCAACACAGTCAGCTGAAAGCTTGGAAATCTTTGCCCAGTTTTTCATGAGCCCCCTGTTTGGGCGTCTTTTTTTTGAGCCCAGGCTGTTTGGTGTGGTTTCTTCTTTTTTTTTCTTGCGGGTTGCGTTTACGGGGTGTAGGCGGCTTCGGTTCTGGGAATCCTCGAGAAACCGAATCGGCGCACAGCTTTCCGGCATCGATGGCCCCTGCCAGGCCCATGTCCATCTCCTGCCGCTCAGTCCCAGGACATTCGTGCGACGTGTGACGTGAGCGTGCTTTGTGTTTTGCTTCGGAGCTCCTTTCGCATATATATATATATATATATATATATATTGTTGTTATCATTATTTTCTGTATATAAATATATATATATATATATGTGTGTGTGTGTGTGTGTGCGTGAGCATTTGGCGCAGAAATGCCCAAAGGATGGGACCCAGCAAAAAAGGTCACGTTGGGGGTGAAACAGACAGGGCAAGCTGGAAGGTCAAAAGGTCGGCTTTGGGGCGACGTATCAAGGAAGCCGGGACCTTCGTTGTGCCCGAGCTCGCGCCGCGGCAGATATGGACCCCTAAACATGCGGGGTTCATGGACAAAATTCTGCAGGTCGGTGGTTTGCTCCAATTATTTGTTCTAGGGTTTCATGCATCTTAGGCGCTGTGTTTTCCAATTTTCATCCCGCGAACGTGAGACCACTGCCCTCTCGACAGCTCAGAAAAGTAATTAACCCGAGCGGCTCCGGGTGCGCCCCTGCCAAACACACACACACACACACACACCAAAAACCAAAAAAAAAACAACAACAAAAACTGCCTAACACACACACACCCAAAAAAAAAGTCTAGGTGGCATCCCCAGCAGCCACCCCCGGAACCCTGAATGAAAGCTTCTCCAAATCTGAGAGCTTGGGAAACCTGAAAGCTTTCCGGCTGGGAATAATTCCAAATGCGGAAAATCGGGTGCTCCGACCGGATGTGCGCACTGAAGGAAGCCGGGCCCTTGCAGATGAAGACCTAAAGGTTTCAACCACTGTGTCTCACGAGTCAATTGCCCAGACAAAGTCCGAGCTACTAAAATGGTGTTCCACTTAACGTCCGGAAACTCGAGTGAGGTGTTGCTTCTGCGAGACATATCTTCAATATCTTCAAAAGGCTGAATACGCCCATATGACTGGTGTGAACCCCTGGTTTATGGCTTAACTAACCGTTGGTTTTGGCTTAATTCTGGGAAATCAGCCCCGCTTTGGGGTCCCATTGTGGCCCCTGGGTTCCTGGGCTGTCCTCAGATCCGCAAAAAGTTGTTGACTTGTGGGTTGCATCGGATGCCTAGGAGCCCCCAAGCTTTGCCCTCCAACTAACATGGAAGTGCAAAAAGGCCAACTAACCAAGAGGCAAGTCGTCTTTCTACAGGGGTCCGGAGGCACAAACCCATGGAATCGTCGGTGGGGTAGACTGATGGGAATCTGCCTTCCACACCTGGATCCCCAGCCCGAAAAAAAAAATCCCCCGCGCCGCAAAGAGACGGCACAAGGACTCCAACAGTTCCTCGGAGCCGATCTGCGGCGAGACAGACACTTCCCCACCTGTTTCGGAGTGGCTTGGACCATGTTCCTCAAAAAAGGCCGGGTTGTTGTCAGGTTCCATGCTTGTTGGTGGGAGGGTATCGAAGACTTCCACTTCTGACACCCAGACCAAACCAAAGAAATGTCACACTTAAAAAGCCTTATTTAGGGCTCACTTACCCCATAGTTAATTTGTGGCTTATCCTTGAGGGTGTTCCAGGGGTCTGGTGATACAACTTTAAGCAGGGGTGACCTCTCCCTTTTCACTAATGCATAGGGGATAGAAACGGCACAAATAGTGAATAACAATCAATCCGCATACCCATCCAATAGAAGTTCAATTAACATTTGAAGAGATTCCCCGAGAAATGGGCGGGTCATAGAATCATAGATGTTCACCCGCTAACTCCTTGTTACTCACTATAGTTCGCCGGCGCCTTAAAAGTACACTTTGGGTGGGATTTGACTAAACGTCTAAGGGTACGGCTGGACACAGCCGAGAGCCTGCTTTGCCTCCTGTTTCAAACGCCTCGGGGCCAAAGTCTAATTCGTGCCTTAAGCCAACCATGGCCATGGCCCCCATTTTGCCACACGCCCATCCTTTTGTGGGGCCAAGTCATGGCGCCCTGTTGGTTTATGTGTTTTTTTTGCGGGCGGCGGGAGGGCCGGGGGGGGGGGGGGGGGGACCGTTGCAATGGCTGCCCCAAAAACCATAAAGGGTCCATGGCCATATCTAACCCCTAAACGAGATATTCAATATGTATCGCCACGACCAGCAAACCGGAAAAATGGGTGGGCCTACGCATCCATGGTTGTATGGGTCCAGAAAAAGAAAAGATCAACAACATGGGGATTGCAGGAGTCCGTGCCGTCCACAGCGAGACCCCGGGTTCTAGTTAACTAGTTACAGTAAGTGGGTGAGAAACCTTCGCCAGATACGGCCTTAGCCGCCGGGCGCACGCGCCACTGTCGCCTGGCGACAGTAAGGGCCTCCAGTGGGTTGTGTCAGACCTGTCGTGAGCTTCACTGAGAGCATTGGCCAAATAAATATCTAAACGGTTTTCCTTCTACAAAAATGACCTGCCCAAAAAAAAATCCAGGAACTCAGGGAATGAGGGCCAAAAGCGCATGTATACAAGGTGACCGCCCCTAGCCACACAACGTTGGCAGCGCGCTTTTTTTACCAGCCACACCGCGAAGGATCTCTTTGTCCGGCTTCCCTTGAACACCAAAGGGAGTGCCCGAGATGCAGGCGTATCCAATTGCAAGCGCGTCTTGCGGATACAAGTGCGAAGCCATGTTCAATAAGACCTCGAACCCGTACTGCATAGGAAAGCCCCCAATGAGTAAGAACGTCTCAACGATGCATGCGGCCATGATTGGCCCGTGCTCTGTTGTACATCAGGTGTCAGCATTGCGGCGTGTGTCAAACATTTTCACATAAAAACAAACAACTGTTTCTCACTTAACGTGCTCTCTAGAAAGTTTACTGTTGGGGCGAAACGGGTTGGCCTGGACGGGTTCCTGCCACTGTGTCTCCCCTCCCTTTGTTCATGAACCAAGTGAAACTGTCGGTTCATCCAGAGAGCTCGTTATGCTCCGCAAAAAGTCGTTGGAGTTGGCCCCCGTGCCCAGATGTTCACATGGAACCCGGCGAGAAAAGCCGCGGAGGCACAAACGGACAAACAGATCCGACTGGCCGAAGACAGACAAAAATACAAACAAGGCAAAACACCAACTGCTTGGCTTAGTAGACACAGGCGAACAGGTCAGCGCCCCTGCCTTTCAGATCCAGCTGGAAGAGCGCACCTTCAACAAGGCAACCAGCACAAACATCGCCCTCCAGCAGGGAACCTGGGGGTTTTGTTTGAGGTTCGATGGCTGAAAGGGAAGCCTGCCAAAAAAAAGAAACTTCATTCTAGAAGAAACGTCTTTAGTACTGGCGCTAAGTAAAGGCTAGCCTTCGTTTTAAAGTAGGTGAGAGCAGAAGGAGAAGAGAAAAGAAAAGAAGAGAACAAGGCTGCTCGTAAACACGAGATGAGAGCGGAGGGAGAAAAGAAAAACAAAGAAGAAGGGAGAATAGAAGAAAAAAGCAGAGATGAAAATAGAGGAGAAGAAAAAACGTGACAAGTGTTCAGATTGCGTGACTCCGAGACAGGTTAGCTTAACTTAGATTGGGTTGATTGGGCAGGGTAGGTAGATAGATAGCTAGATTTACCCACAGCACGTGTGGTTCGCCCAGAACCACCTTGTTCCACTTTCTGGCCTCATTCCAGCCTTAGGTTTAACTTGCCCCGTTTAGGGTTCAGGTTTAGGGTTGAGGTTTCAAACCACCCGTTTATTTAGGGTTTAACTTGCCCTGAAACCACCACTTTAGGGTTCAGGTTTAGGGCTCAGGTTTATGGATTTTTCTTGCCCTCAAACCACCCTTTAGGGTTTCGTTTTGGGGTTTAACTTACCCTCAAGCCCCCATTTAGGGTTCAGGTTTAGGTTTTAGCTTGTGGGGTTTAACTTGCCCTCATTTAGGGTTTAACTTGCCCTCAAACCCCGCGTTCAGGGTTTAGGGTTTCAAACCACCCGTTTGGGGTTTAACTTGCCCTCAAGCCCCCATTTACGGTTCCAGGTTTAGGGTTTAACTTGCCCTCAAACCCCCCGTTTAGGGTTTGGTTTTGGGGCTTAACTTGCCCTCATTTAGGATTCAGGTTTAGAGTTTAACTTGCCCCCAAACACCCGTTTAAGATCTGGTTTTGGGGTTTAACTTGCCCTCCAACCCTCACTTTAGGGTGTGGAGAGCTTCATTTGTCACCTTCTAATTTCTGGCTGAGCCTAGGATAGTCCCAAAAAATGAACATAGCGAACTGCGCAGTTGCTCGCATCGGCGAAGGCTAGCCGATGTTCTAAGGGCCGACCGCTCGATATCAGGCGCGGGTGCTAAAACGCTGGCAGGCGCGAAGGAATCTGAGCGTGTGACGCCCCCCGGAAGCGAGTCTCCGGGCAAACCACAAGCGCTGGCCGTAGATTTACAGACAGATAGAAAGATACATAACTAGATAAAATCGATACACAGACAAAACAGAAGACTAGATGGGTAGATACACAGATAGATGGACAAATGCAAAGAAATATTCAAAGTGGAATGAGAAAGGTTAGGTAGCTAGCCAAAAACTAAGTACCACATAGAGATAGACCCGCCAACAGATAGACAATAACTAATGCATAGATCGCAGACAAAAGGGGGGTTGATCGATAGAAAGATGGATAGATAGATAGAACAAAGAGACAGATGGATGATAGACAAATGTTAGATAGACAGGCAGATGGGTAAACAGATGGAACAGAAAAGCACAAAATAGACTAGATAGAAAGATAGAGACAAAGAGATGGATAGACAAATAGATAGAAATATTGATAGACAGACAGATAGAAAGAAAGATAAATAGATAGAACATCTACGTAAAGCATCAGCAAAGGGAATCTTAAACACCAATGATTTTCTAGTTAGTTGAGCAATCCTTGGCCCCCCTGCAGCGGCCTGTGCCGGCAAGCGAAGGGCTTTTTGACTGTCTCCCAATCGTCTTGGACCCCCCCGCCTTACAACCCAGGGTCATGAGACAGGCGCGCTCCCAGTCAAAGGAATGTTTCCGGGATCCTTTCGCGCTACAAAACGCAGTGTTTGGGATCGTTCCAGGATGTCTCTGGGTTCATTTGTGCTGTAAAACACAGTACCGAGATCGTTTCGGATGTCTCCGGGATCCGCTTGTGCTGAAAAACGCAGTGCCGGGATCGTGCGGGATGTCTCCGGGACCCGTTTGTGCTGTAAAACACAGTGCCGGGACAGCACACCCCCGGCCCCCGTTTGCGACTTAAAATGTTACTAGGGGAGGGGGGTGTCCGAGGAGAGGGTAACCGACCAGAGGCAATGGTAAACAACGCCAGCGGCGTACTTCCTAGCATTGTATCGCAGGCAATGGTTCAAACGGGGCCACTGTCAAACTCAGCTCTCGATGTAACAGGAAGGACGGAAAGCCAGCTGCTTCAGCACCACATGATGGAACCTTCAAGATGGCAACTTGCAAGAAAGCAAGGGGTGGGACAGCCACGTTCGTGGCGACGGGCATCTCCAAGATTGGTGAGAAATGAAAATCAGAAATAAGTGAAATGCGGGTCGCTTCGAAAACTGCCCTTGGCCTAGACACAAACAAGTCGCACGTATGCCACTTTTGGAAAGGAAGCATATGTCTCTTGAAGGAGCCTGGCCGGTCATGCTGCGCCGCGCCCATGACAAGAGATCGCGGATGCCAGCTCTGGCCAACAAGCGCCTCCGTTTCTTTGGTCAGAAAATTGGTCCTAATGATTAAGACATGAAAGCAACATGAAACCCACACTTGCCTCGTTCCGGATAGATTTCGTGATCCTCTTGGACTCTGTCTTCAAAGTGCGACAGCGGCTCTGCATCTCACCCAAGTCAGGGCTGTCGATCTCACGGCGCTCTTCCCGCTCCTGCTGCTCACCACGTTCTTCCCGCTCCTGTTGCGCACCACGCTCGCTGTCTGCCATGGCTTGGTCGCTTGATCTGCCAAAGTTCTGAGTATGGCTAACCAGACCCACGCACACTGTCTCAAAACTCCAACGCCAAATCTCATGCGCCAGGCGCTAAAACAACCCGGCGGACCGAACTCTGCGCTCGCGCTTCGCAGTCTTCTTAAAACAACTTGCGTCTCACCTCAGCGAAATGCTTATTAGTCCCAAAAAACCCCTCCCAAAAAGAGGACACAGTCCAGTTTAGGAGCGCCATTCCCTGCCTTCTTCTCCTTTTTAACATCTTTGCAATCGCAACGACAACCTGCTGCTCCATATCTCGCTGGCGCAAGACATAGCGCCACTGCCAAGACTTTACATACAAACTGGACATGTGGGCTGCATGAAGGCAGCGAATTCGGAACATACGCCTTGCAGCTTGACCAGGTAGAGTCCGTCGTGCCAGTATGGCAGACGACCATTTCGCGTCCGCGAAACTCATCTTTGACACACTCTCCCTTCCTGTGATTAACTGATTCAGCGTGCGCGCAGTGCTGAAACAAAGCAGGCGAGCAGGTGCGCTTACCATGGTGGGCGCGCGCGCAGTGTTACAAGGAAGCAGTCCAAAGAAGCAGTCGGGCGGGTGTGCTTACCCTGAACAGGCGTGCGCGCAGTGTTATAGCGAAGCAGTCGAGCGGGTGCGCTTACCATGGTCAGGCGTGCGCGACGAGGCAGTCGGGCGGGTGTGCTTACCATGGTCAGGCGCGCAGTGTTGTAACCAAGCAGTTCAGCGGGTGTGCTTACGTGCGCGTAGTGCTATAACGAGGCATGCGAGTCGGTGTGCGTACCCTGGTCAGGCGTGCGCGCCGTGCAAGAACGAAGCAGTCGGGCGGGCGTGCTTACCATGGTCAGGCGTGCGTGCAGTTCTATAACAAAGCAGTCGAGCCGGTGTGACATGCAGGGTTATAGCAAACAAGTCGCGGTTTCTGGTCCGCTGGCTAAAACATGCCCCGAGAAAGCCAAAATCATTCGATCTACACTCAAGCGAGTGTGCCGAGATAGTATATAGATAGGTTAAAGAATCAATAAATACATGGACAGATTAGACAGGCAGCCAGATAGACAGATAGAGGGGAAAATGAAAGTGAAATTAGATAGAAAGGAAAGTGAAATTAGAAAGGTTAGATAGCCAGCTAAGTAGATACGCAACATGATCCAGAAACACGTAGACAAATATATTGGAAAGATTCAATAGCTAGCAGACATAGGGAGAGATAGGTAGATGGATGGATGGGTAGATGCATGAATGGATGGATAAACGGATCGGAAGATAGATAGGTAGATAGACAAATAGATACACAGACAGATAGGCGGATTGATACACAGAAAGACAAAGAGAAAGATAAAGAGAAAGAGAAAAAAGAGGCGGAAAAGAGACGAGCAGGAGAAAGAGACAAATCAACATAAAGAACACGAGAAAGACAAAGAGAAACATTAAAAGAACGGATACCAGAGAAAGAGCAAGAGACTTATAGCCCTTCGGCTCTGCCGAGCTGGCCAATAAATCATCCAAGTTTGACACCCTCTATCATGAGATCCCAGCCCACTCACCACCCCTGCCCACTCCCCTTCTTGCGCCCGATCTCTGTAACAAGGACCTGCAGAATGTAGGATTGACTTTGAACCCATGCTACATGGGCAGACGTGCTGTGGGCTCCCCTAGCATCTGATTTCAATGTTTTTCTTCTCCTAAGGGATGATGACAAAGTCCCAGTTCCACCCGCATTCAGGAAGTGATAGGAGGGGGTTGGAGCTAGCAATTGACTGCTGAACGCACGGGGGCAGATGATTGGCAAACCTGAAGTCAGCGGATTTCATATGTTCAATCAAACCGGGCCCCCGAACGCAGGTTTCAACCATGAAACTCAACTCACAGTGTTCGGCCGGTGGGAATTTGTTGGTCCAAACAGTTCCAGACCCAAAAACGTAAGTCCGGAAACTTGACAAAGGCAAAAAGGCAATGGGAGGTATATGTTCCATGGGTCTAAATGCTTTGGGGGGAACTGACCACCTTCCCTGAGCCGGCTTCCACGTTGCCTTTTGCCCCCCTCGTGGGTATGTATCCAAACGAGGGGGCCGCCGAAATAGGTGGTTGCCTTTTGGTGTCCCGTTGCAGGCGGGGAAGGCCTCGAAGATAGGCCCGGCTCCCTTAAAACCACCACTGGGCACCGGCAGACTTTTTTTTTCAGGAAGAGCGCCCCAAGTCTGGCACCGGCTTCCTTAGAGGCTGCATCCCAAAGCCACCTGCCTAAGTCACCTCGGAAGTCTCTTTTTGACCGGGTAAAGAGGGCTGGGCTCGCCCAATCCCGCGGCTGTCGCCAAGTCCAATCCCTCCCCGTGGGCCTCAGGGAAAATTTCGGCGCCTGCCACAGGTCCAACTCCGGAACTCCGATCAGCTCTGGAAGCCTCCCTAAGCAAATGTGGATGCCTGATCCAGAACGGCGTTCTTCCAACCACCTAGTAATTTTAAAAGAAATCCTCAAAAACTGGAGGAGGAAAAATGCCGCGCGCAGGACTGCGGAACCCATCCCCCCCCCCCCTCCCAAACCAGAAAACGGTGGGCGAAAGCCGAATGCCCGGCCACGGAAGACGGGGGTCGCAAAGAAGAGCGCCTACGCGCGGGCGATACGTGAGGCTGATTGCAAACGTCCATGTATGAACCCATCATCTTTTAGGGTCAGGTTTGACCCCTGTGAGGTCAGGTTTGACACAATTCGGCCAGCTGTTCACGCTTTTTCATAGCAATAAACCAGGAGTTCATACCAAGGGTTCAATGCCAGGGGTTTTGAATGGGCTCATTCATTCAGCTAAGATAGAAACGCAGGTATCCCGCATAAAGCGTCCAATCACGGCCGTGGCGGGTCACGATATGGTTCATAACCACTGACTGCACTATGGTTTGCGTCCAACGGCAATCCAAACCACCAATGAAGCGGTACCTGAAAAAGGGGGGTTCCCACAAAAACCCACAAGCCAAGATGCTTTGATCACGTCACCCGGATCCAAGCAAGAAAGCAAGGGATATTCTCAATATCTAGGTCTTCCATAAACAAATGAAATGGGCAGAAGTGCTGATATTGGCCTGTTTTCTCCTGCAACATGAGCAGAAATCAGCGGGACATGAGCGGAGATTGGTGGACACACACCAGAACACATTTCCTATTTAGCGTTTTGAGTGTTTCTTAATTGAAAGTAAAAGGAGTGTTTTTGTGCTCGAAGCGGAGACCACAAACAAGTGCCAAGGAAGACCTAGGTATAGGTGTGTCTTGTTTTTTGGGGCCCCCCCCCAAAGATGGTACCCTCAAAAAAGACATGCCCCTAAAGCAGAGTAGCCTATCCGCACATTTGCCTAGGATTCGGTCGAAAACCAGCTAGCCCGACTCTAGGCTGATCTGCTGGAAACAGCTTAGACTGTTTCGGCTTCGCGCCCAATTCTCCAGCAGGGTTGCACGGTTTTCGGTCCCCGCGCGCGCCTGCACCAGGGCGTTCCAAAAGCAGGAGTTCCTCGAGAGCGACAACCGCGACCAAACGAATCACAGGCTAGGGACTCCCCTTTCCAGGGCTGCAACAGGCCTGGCTGGCGGAAAGAGCAGCAGCGGTCTGTTAGGAGCGGTTTGGACAGGGAGGGGGATCATTGTCGAACACCGATTTCGGCTCATTATTGAACACATGCACCGGGATCATTTTCGAACACGTCCACGGCTCATTTGCGAACATTGGGGGGGGGGGGCCATATTGGGGGGGGGGGGATGGGGGGATGGGGGGGCACGGTGCAACATGCCAACTTGGGGGCTGGCCCCTGAGAAGAACCCACTCTCTGATTCATCTCCGAACAGAACCTGATGTCTGATGGATCCTTTTTTGCTGGAAGTCCTTGCTGCATGGCTGAATGCGAAGATTCTCACAAGATTACTCAAAAGTGAAAGCGTCATCTGCTAGCACCGGAGAAGGTAGTGTCCTACAAGCGCCAAAATGTTTCCACAAGGCATGGCAAGGAGGTAAAGAAGAGAGAGACATAGAGTGGAGGGAGAAAAAGAGAGAGCGAGAGAGAGGCACAAAGAGGAAGGAGAGAGAGAGAGAGAGAAAGAGAAAGAGAAAGAGAAAGAGAAAGAGAAAGAGAAAGAGAAAGAGAAAGAGAAAGAGAGAGAGAAACAGAGAGAGAAACAGAGAGAGAGAGAGAGAGAGAGGATTGGGGGAGGAGAGAGAGAGAGAGAGAGGAGAGAGGACGAGGGAACACACGGGGGAAGACAAGAGAGAGAGGAAGAAGGAGAAAAGGGAGAGGAGGGGCGCTTGGGGCTTTTGGCTCACACCCACTTGAACAAAAGCGTGTTCAAAAACGAGAACTTGCCCGCGTTCAAAAACGAGCCGAAACAGGCGTCAAAAAACGAAGTGCTTTCCGGTTGGACACTCGTTTCACATAGGCATACACAATCGAACTTTGGTTTGCTATGATATATAAGTATATATATGTTAATATATATATATATATATATATCGGTTGATTGATTTTTATACGTATACATATATGCGCACATGTTCACAGGCGCATATGTCCACATCTGTTCGTGCACTTTGTTCAGACAACACAGGCCTGCTTTTTCCGGGGCCCCGAAGCCACACTAATGCCAAAGCCGTTGCCGCGCTTGCGACCGATTCAGCGAGCAAATAAAAACCTTGTGCCACCGAAGCTGCCCGGAGTTCAGAAGCCCCGCGGGGAAGAAGGGCCTCGGACTTTTAGGCATGCGAGGTGTCAAGTGGCTATGAGTTTGATGGGGAACCACCTCGAAGGTGGCTGGTGGACCTAAATGATGTCCACCACAGGGTTCCTCATTGAAATTCATACCCCCTCCTTCCCAAGCCAAAAGGCCTACCACAATAGCATTGAGGAATTTGGGCCGGGGAGCAACCTTGTTGAACAACATTGAGCCAATTGTGTTGTTCCTGCGCGTTTGCCTGTCATGTTGGAATTCTGGGACGGCTGAACCCTTTGGCCGCCTCTTGGGGGAGCACTATTGGCATATTAGTTCTCTTGCCTCGCGCTCAGTGACTGGCAGCCACGTGTTGCGGTGCTTCCAGCACATATCGAAACTCAATCACCATGTTGGTGGAGTGAGCAAACTGAGTTTAAGAATCTTCTGAGTAAACCGATCACCCCGAAGACGCTGCCACAAAGCAAAAATGGGCAGTGATCAATCCCGCCGTGCTTCATAAGCAAGCCAATCTGACGAACACTCCAAGCACGAGTCACAAAGTTGAAGAGCAAATGGACAACCCCCCGCCTAAGGAAGAGCTTGAAAGCAACGTTCCAGGCGGCATCCGCACGTTGAGACTGCTGAACCGTGCCATCCCATGTGACTGGAGCCAGCGGATCCGGCTTCGAGCGAACGGGGCGCCCCCACACACCCGGTCCACATGAGCCAAATGCGAAGCTCAACCCAACTGACCTGATGAATGGTCTCAGGTTGGGAAGGATACCAAGCGCAGTTGCGGAAAGTAACATGCGATCATGTCGAGGAAGTCAGGAGGCTGGGTATCATTGCAAGCGCTTTGCAGCTCCAGCCAATTGACATCCAGCGGAAGTCCCTCCCCGGCAACCTGAACAAGTTTCAAGTCGTAATTCGGCCCCTCCGAAGTGTCCTTCTTTTTTGGAAAGCTCGAATTTGCGCCCGGGATCTGCTGCAAGGAATTGCTAATAACAGCTTCAGCATGTTCTACCCCAGGTGAGCTTGCTGCAATTTTGCCCAGAAGGTGTTGCGCAATCCCAAGGGCTATTTCAGCTAGTGCCAACTAAGGCCTATGCTTTATGAACCCTCAGGTTCTACTTACATTGGGCTGCCCGGCCCTTCAGGCCCCATCAGCGGGCGCACGCCCAGATCCTCCTGCGAAACGTGGCGCAAAGATGTTCAGGACTAGGACAGTTTGAGTAGGCGCACTTCCTGCTTGGTGTTTGCCAAACTTTGCCAAAGTTGTTTGCATCTTCAATTTGCTTTGCCTCGCCAAGCGTTGCCAGCGATTTGCCATCAAGTTGCTTCTTGCTTGCCACTAAAATGGTCCAGCCCCAAAAAGGACAACTCCAGAGAGTGAGTAGCGCTAATGATTGCCCACAGCCACCATCTCACCAAATCAAAGTTTCTCTCTAGACCAAAATGACGAAGAAGCCCAGCAGCAACACCTTTTCAACATCTGGAAACTGAGCCAGCAAGCTTTACCCACTTCGAGACAAGTGGAACCCACACCTCCAGAGTCTGGAGAACGTTCTTCAAGGGACACCCCTTCAAAGAAGAAGGGAAGGCAAAAGCGAAAACCAGCACCTCGCCTGTGCTGGCTTCCATGATTGTTTTTGGGAGGGTAAGCCAAACGGGTTTCCTTGACTCCTGAACAACTGCAACAATGTGCTGCGTGCCACTGACGTGTTCTCCCCCAACGATGACCAAAGTTCAGGAACTCGGGCTGTGAGAAAAGAAAACACTGGAAGTCTGATTGTGAGCCGGGAGCCGTGCTCGGAAATCGCACGTGCCTTTGGTAGCGCCACGCTCTCCCGCAGCGCTCGCTGCAGGTCCTCCTCCTGCGACGAGGGAATGAGAAACATTGGCCAAAATAACCAGCTTTCTGTGACACCAAAGTTGGTGATCTTCCCTTCCCATTCCTTCTCTGCCTGTTCTTTCCTTTCCTTTCCTTTCCGCTTTTTTGGGCTTCATTCTGCGCCCTGCCCTTGCAAGGCCGCGCTGCATGCCACCCTGCTGCTGAGCAAATCGGGTCGACAATCGCTCATCTCCGTTGAGTAGCAATGGCAAATCCCGCTGAACACTCTCCGTGCTCTCTCAAATTTACAGCTAGAACACTGCTCACTTTGACTGCCATGGTGCCTTCAAGCGCACCTTTTGCCCTGAGAACTCGCGGTGGCTTCACGTGGATGTGCCTGCTGTTGAGCGTCCTCTGCTTGGAATGCCGGGTATTTTGGGCTGGTCCCTCTGGGCCTCAAATGCTGGTTCTTGGCTGTAAACAACCGGCCGTGGTCTTTCCTCATACTAATTAGACCCCAAACGGAAGAGGTTGGGCAAGGCACACTTGCGGCTTCGCATAGTAGCTCCTTAGCTCCCTCTTGGATACCCCCAGCTTGGCGCTTTTCCGTTATTTAACTCCACAGTCAAAAAGTAAACCTTGGAGCAATTAGCCAAACCTTGTTGTGTGAAACTGTGTGTGCCACAGGCACGCTTCCAAATGCATGCTTCATGCGTGCCCCTGGTAGAGAAACCTATGCACATTGTTGGGGTTGGCCATCTTTAGTAGGGAACCCATCAAACGTGGAAACGGGTGCCGCTGAACAATCAAGCCCTACCCCAGCCAACCCAGGATGCCGGCCTCTGACGCACCCACGGCTGAGCCTGCGCGAGTGTGATCATTCGGACAGTCTCAGGCATACGGACACACACCCGCACATGGATACACGCGCATACACATGGACACGCGGAGACCGGGAATTCAAAACCGTATCCAAGCGGGGGGGGGGGGCCCGCTGGCGATACGGACCACGTTCGAAAATATGTTCTCCAAGTCTTTGGCGTCTCTCGGCGTATTCATACCATGTCCGCCCCGCAGGAACCGCCGGCCATCTCTTCGCTGGTCAAGAAGGGACATGTGTGTGTGTGTGCTTTTGTGGGAGGGTGCCCCATGCTTGCGGTTTTGAGGGGAAGCTACAGGAAACCCCCTCTTGGGGGGGTTCCCTAAAAAAACACGCGCAAATGGAACACCACAGCGCAAACGGCCAAGGAGGGTAGTTACGTCCGGCAATCTCATAGCATCTCTTCTTGACTTCCAACGGGGGATCAGTGAGTGACTCATTGGACCAGCCCCATGCCCCAGTCTCCATACCTGCTTCCCTTCACAGAAAGCAAATTTGGGGCTAGCGAAAATTGTCAAACCGGCGGGTGCTTGGAAACCTTCATTTTGCTCGATTGCTCGTTGGTAAGTGGGGAAATGGCCATCCCCTGCTCCTCCCTCTGAACCACACAGCAAAGACCCGTCCCTTAAACCCAGCCAGCAAAAGTCAGATCCGGTCGATTCGCTTTAGGGACTCCTAAAGGACCGACATCATTTGGTTTCCGCTCGAACAAAGTCGCACGCACCGGCGAGCGCCACGGTGAGCCTGGAAAATGGGTTCAGAGTCTCGGGCCTTTTTGGCTCCCAGGTCCCCTGCCCAACCTCCAACATCACCCCGAAAGAAATTCACGTCCTGAGTGGATTGGCAAAAGTCCAAATTAGGTTGGTGCAAAATGCGGGAAAACCCACTCCCGCAGCTCCATCATGTCATGTCAATTGCCCGCTTGGGAAATCTGGTTTAAACCCCCGCATCCATACGGCACGTATGTTCGCCACTGCTCCAGAATTCACAACGTCCTTTTTTTAAAGGAAACATGTGATCTTTGCTCTATTTCAGGAACCTGAATGAAGGAATGCCTAGGCCTGGCGAGTGTTCAACCCTTAAGCAAGGATGTTGTTCTCTTGTCCTCCTTGTGGCAAGGGGGCACAAAAGCAACTACACCGTTTTGGCCTTAGGGTTGTCTGCATGATCCTTCAGTTTCGAGCCATGGACGGGTGCCCTTGGAAAGATCGATGGCAAATGCTCAGGATGGGTTTCCACCAGGTGAGGCCCCTGGCATGACTCCACCGATCAGAGGGTTTTTGAAAGGCACCCTGAGGATTTACCCCTCGAAAAAAGCAATATGTCCAAAATAATCAAAATAATCAAAGAAAACCTGAATAAAAGGGTATGTATCCTCAGGGTGGCTTTCAAAAAGCCTCTGAACCGAAAGATTCCCAGACAAAAAGCTAAGCTGAGTTGAAGGAAAGATGACTTCGGGGTCACTGGAATTCCCCCTAAGTTGTGAGGAAACGGCGGGGAAACGGAGGAATTCCTGCCAAGAGCCGAACAGGGAAAGGCATGCAAAAAGGTGACTTGGGCCAACACGGTGTTGGAGTCTGGGCTGGAATAAATACCACAAAGACCGCTCAAGGCCCAGGGTCGAACATCAGGAAAATGTCCATGCGTCATGGAAACCCTTGGAAATCAAGAGGCTGTGCCTTGCCATACAAAAGGGGGTACCTTCACAAAAAAGGACAGACCCGTAAACAAGATGGAACACAATCATGAAGGACTTGTTCAAAGCCTTAACCTGGTAACCCCCCCCCCCCCGCCCCCATATTCGCTTCTTCTGATTGTGGATCCTCGGCCCTCTCGGATCTTCAGCCATTTGGCCCAAAGGAAAACTGCCCTTGACAAGAAAAAAACATTGTCTCGTGCCCGCAAATACTGAACTGAACCAAAAACAACGGGGGGAAAAAGAGGTAAAAAAACGCGACAACACATGCCAAATACTGTGAGGGAAGCCCAAAGGGACCCAAACCAAACCTCCTGGAGGGGTAGGAGGGAACTCACTCCTTCCCTACCCCGCCTTCGAAGGCTGCAGGGGCCTGCGTGTGCGTGCAATTTGGGGGAGGGTGCATGTGAAGGATCAAATGTTCAAGCAACTTCCCCTGCCTTGGCAAGCATAGGCATAGGTGTCCTTGTGGAAAAATACATGGCACTGGTAAACTGCAATAAAATCTAAATAAACCAGGCTTGTCTATTGATAAGCACACCAACCTAAAAAGTTGTTTCACGGGTATTGATCTTCATGAAAGGCGGTTTGGAGCGCTGACCAAGGGGGTTCTTCCCCAACCCGAAGATTCTCAACTTGCTACGGCCATGTTGAACAGAGCAATGCACCCTTCAAGGTACCACCCCTGAATATGGCACTCACTGCAACTCACCTCGCTTGGCCCTTCCAAAAGGGAACCAGAAAAAATCCCGTGCCACTTACCTCAGGGAAAACGAAGAACCGAGATGGGGGGGCCGGTGTAGAAATGGGCCCGTGGAAAGGCGTGACGTTTTTTTTAGCCCTGCCGAAATAGAACAAGGCGACTCGGGGTATACGAAAATCTTGCAGATCGCATGGTTTGGGATTTGTAACGTGAGGGGAACGTGGGAACCCTGACGTTCAAACCACACGCCGGCCAGAAATGTTGATCTGAGCACGCTTTGAGACCAGTGAGGTTTCGACTTGGAAGCGGGGGTTTGATTGACCATGCTTCGACACCTGCTGTTGTAAAAACCTCCGCTTGATTCCCCTCAAGTGACCTGGTTAACCCCCCCCCTACCATAAGGGGCAGGGTGCCCACAGGGACAGACATGGAATTTCAGGGTCGAAATCTCCCCTACCCCAATTCAATTGAGTCGGTGGGGCATGTTACGGCATGTTCCTTACAACCCGAGGGAGACAGGCAACCCGCCTCCTCAGTTCTTCAGTGACCCTGGAGGAAAAAAAAGAAGGGGGAATCCTTTTTGAGGAAGACCATTTTTAGTGGGGCAGCCACCCCAAAAAAAAAAGACAAAAGAAGAAAAACACAATTGGCGCCACTGAACGAGTTGCGCCTCATTCAGGCTCTGCGCGATGGCTTGCTGGACCAAGGCTTCCTGAAGAAAAAAACAAGCGGATCCCGGGCGCGCCAACCCAAAAAAACCCGGGCCGTGCGAAGCCTCCCGTTTTATCGCCAGTTGCGATCGCTTTTTTCCATGCACTTTACCCCAACGACCAGCACCAGTGACTGAAAAAAAGACCCCCTTCTGGGTGAAATGCAACAAATAGTTCACCAGCCTGATGTTTTTTGGTGGTTTGGGGGCTATTCCCGACATAAACCACCGTTTGGGGTGAATTCGGTCGTGTGCGGTCGTTATAATTCACCCAGTCCCTTGGTATCGGGAGGTTTCTGAGGCGACCATGGACCTAAACAAATCGGAACCGGTTCAGCTTGGTTGCTGTCATGTTTAGTGGGTTTTGATTGCACCCCCCCCCCCTCTCCAAAAAAATAAATAAACACAAGACAACAACAAAATAAAATGGAGGGCGCCGCTAAACAACAGGGCGCACACTTGGGACAATCTTCCAAGCGCTTCGACGCAACAAGACCGACTGAGATAGTTTCGTAGCGAGTGCAAGCCCGTAGATGGGCTGGCAGGCTTTGAGCCCCCTGCAGCTTCATTCAAAGCTGGTTCCTCCAGCGCCTGGTTTTAGACATGGGTTCAATCTCTTGTTTTTGCCAATTTCTTTGGGTCCCCAGTGTGAGGTACTGCTGGTCGCGGGGATAGGATGGACCAAACTGGGTCCAGAAACCACATTCTCAAGATCAACCTCTCCAAGGCGGGTCTAAAACCAAGCACTCCCCAAAGAAAGACAGGTGGAACACCTCAATATCGCAACTCGCCAGAACTAGGTGAAGCCAACAAGTCAAGTCAAGTGGCTTTGGGCAAGTGGCCATGATACCTCACTGACAAGTAAAAACACATGGGCATGGGTGAAATTCAACCACAAGGGGGCTGCAATTCTTAGTCCATGTGTCCATGTACCAGGGTTCCATTTTGGGCACCGACTTTTGACCCACAGACATATCTCGTATCTCGGAGACTTTCGCGGGGGCTCGTTCTACGCCAAACCCCGCTCAATTGGGACCCGTGCGAGCTAGAGAGGAATAACTTTGGCCCGGACTTGAGGCGAACAAATCTTGACCAGGGAAAATGGGTAAAGTTCAAAAGGCGAAAAAGGATGGCTGAGTCTAAAAACTTCATGGCCATGTTTTCTTGAATCGCGCTTTTCCCCCCTTCCAAAGGCTCAAGCGGGCCTCCGCCTCAGACTGACTCGCCATCCCATCGGGGACAGGATTCACCCCAAGTCGCCGCGGCGAAGTGTAAACTGACCTCCATTTGCTTAATTCCCCTGGAAAAATACACATATTTCCAGTAGTGATAGATTCCCTTTACAACCAACAGTGGAAAATTACAAAATATTCTTAACCAAATGGGGGAATAGTGATTCTAGCATAATCCCTCCCAAAAAAAAGGGAACCCGGCCCTTTTGTTCACCTTTGAGGAACATTGAGATTTGTGGGCCATTTCGCGCCCAAAGCGCAGAAAGTGAATTCTGATGCATGATTGGGCCAATTTCTCCAAGTCAGCCTGAAATCGTGGATCCCCAGGAAAAGTGATCCAGCTATTGTTACTGCAAATATGCTTCTTTCTTTCTTTTTTGGGGGGGTATTGGCCTCATCCATAAAGGTTGACCAGCATGTGACTTCTCCGAATTCACGTGTACAACTATCAGATGTTACCATAATCCAGCCTCAGATCCCCAAGCAAGTTGAAAACGAGGCACCGAGTTCGCTGCACCCTCGTTTTCGTGAAGCCAAAAACCAAAAGCCAATGGACCGGAGCTAAAAGAAACAGAAACATTCTCGTAAACCCACCTGAAAGCGGCTCTATGAAAAGGTTGGGCCTGGTGCAAATGGCCGCTGACTCGAGCAGTGCGAGAGAGAGAAAGGCGAGTTCCGGGGAACATCCCGACCACATTCGCCAATTGCCCCAAAAATAACGGCGGGTAGATTCTACGGACAAAACCTGACCTCAAAGTGTAAAGCAATGTCCTGAACCTTGGAGCGGCAAGACGGACCCGACCAAAAATCAGCTTCCCTCTACTTGGTTTGGAGCCCGGTGGTTTAAGGAGGGGGAAACCCCGTTTGCCCTCTACAAGAAGCGGGGGGCTTAAATCCCAAACTACGAATCCAAACCGCCAAGCGCGGTTTACCTAAAGAAAGTGACAACTGTGTGCTGGGTGACCCTTATATGAACATGATGGAACTGGGGGCCAAGCATGGATTGCGGTTTCCCTTGACCACCAGAACAAAGGGGGTACCGAGGCCCACACACACACACACCACACCACACCCACACCCACACCCACACCCACACCCACACCCACACACCACACACCACACACCACACACCACACACCACACCACGCCACGCCACACCACACCACACCACACCACACCACACCACCCCACACCACACACCCACCCCACACACACACACATACACACACACACATACACACACACACACACACACACACACACACACACACACACACACACACACACACACACACACACACACACACACACACCCACACACACACACACACACACACACACACACACACACACACACACACACACACACACACACACACGCCACAAAGGCTTCCATAGGCTAAGTCTTACGTCTGGGGTCAAGCCAACGAGGCTCCTGGACACACACACACACACACACACGCCACAAAGGCTTCCATAGGCTAAGTCTTACGCCTGGGGTCAAGCCAACGAGGCTCCTGGACGGCACACACATGATCCAAACAAAAACGATTTCGGCCCCCCCTGGTGGCGAGCCCTGTTTGGAGGTGAGGTTGGGTAGCTTCCCATTTAGCGAGCACGAATTCAGCTTCCCTCTAAACAGGGAAGAGAAGAAAGCTTGAAAGGACCCAAAGACTTCCAATCCGCCAGTTCTCCATGCGCCTGTGAGGCTAAGGGCTAGGAGAGCAAACTCTAGCCCGCGCCCCCCTGAACATCCAGACAAGGCAGGGGAAGTAACTTCAGGTTGCTCCCATTTGACGCTGTGCGGGCAGAATCCGGCGAAAAACCACCAAAACCAAAGGACCGATCCGAGTTTTCGACAGTTTGCTCCTGAACGTGCTCTTCGCAAGTTACTGCAATTCCCAAACCTGAAAAAATACGACATCCAAAAGAACCGTCCTTGTTTTCTTCGCAAGTTAGCGTAATTCCCAAACCAGAAAATCAACAAACCCTTGGCATCGTAGCCCCCGAGTTCGGTGTGAACAACATGCGACCGCTGCGCGGTGAGTTTTTCGGAGCAGCGGACAAGTTCATTGGCAACGCCTGGGGCCAGATCACGGGGGCTCCGGGGTCGCCGCCCGATCCGTTTGTCAGCTTTTCCGGGCTTCCATCCCAGACCCGATCAGCTTGGTGGTTTGGCTGGTGGTTTGGATTTGGAATTTGGAACTGCAGCATTTCTGGGCGAAGTAGAGTATAAAATTTGTCAAACCGGAAAAAAAAAAGAACACCCTCATGGAGTTTGGTTACCTAGGTGAGCTCGTTATCACTTGCCTGCCTTCATCTCCCTGCCCCAGGGGCACCCACTGGCTATCCCGGGAATTGAACAGTTAAACTAAATGTTAACCAGGTCCTCCAGTAGGGAGGTTGGAATAAGGGTACCCACTTTTTGCTGGACGTCTATTTTAGTAGACGAAAACCCTCCCCCAAAAAAAAGGGGTGAGAAAGGGCACCTAGCTGGGAGACCTAGTTAGAAGCTTGAGAGTCAAAAAGTTTGGCTTTAGCCATGGTCATGACAAAGAAAGGGCTCTTTGTTCTTAGCAGCTTCTGGAGCATTGATGCCTTGCTCAAACAAAATGGAAGTCATACGGCCGGGAGGTGCTTTCATCCCTGCAAACAGGTTTTTACCTGTTTCAGACGGCTTTGACCAGAAACTTGTCTCCCAGGGGCCTCCCGGGTCGAAGCAAGATGCCCATGAAGAAAAAAAATGTGAATCCCCCATTCACAGGGATCTTTCGCAGAACCTGCCCCAAACCCTGGAAGTTGTTTTGTTTCCTTACAATTCCTCACCTCCAGCTGGAAAAACGACACAGAAGGTGCATCGTTCCGATTTCCCAAGGAGGAAGAAACCGAGCCCCTGGCATACATTGGCAGGCATAGCCGAACCTTGCCCACTCTCTCTGAGCTTCATGGGCGGCGGTCCCATAGCACCAATCCGCCGTTCCACCACAAATTTCTGCGGGGAACGCCACAAGGGAAGCGATACCCACGGAGTACTCGTGTGAAAAGAAACATGCAACCCTAAGAACGTATGTTTGTATAGTACAGGTGCACCTTTTGGGCGCCGGCACCCTTGTAGCTAAAAAGACACCCCACAAAATTTGCTGCCCCTACATTTAATGCGGCGTTTCTTTCTGTTCTTCTTTCCTGTTTTTGCCTTTTCTTTGAGGGGGGGGAGGGGTCTATGCCACTTTCTGGCGAGCACCGGCGGCGAGCGGCGCTCTCACATCGCGTAGCTGTGCTCTCGCCACTGGGCAGCTGACAACTGCCTCGGGGTCGTGCGGTCGTGCCCTGCTTTCAGGTGCGTTGGGCGACTCAGACCCCTTCAACATGTTCAAGCCATTGTTGTTTGCACAAATTGTAGGTAATCTCCTTCTTGAAGGGGGAGGGCACTTAGAAAGTAGTTGCAAAGCTGCAGAATCTCCTTTGAAGGGGCACTTAGAAAGTTGGAAAGCCTGCTGATCACCCATGGGACTTAGATCCGAGGCAAGTGGGTTGTAGCCATGAATCACTTACTGAGTACTCGCCTCACCCCGGTTGGTGCCTTCCACTTTGCCTGAAATTGCTCAAGGCCCTTTTCTTGATTTGCCAGTTCAAACGCAAAGGCAAATTAGAACTACAAGTTACAGAAGGGCAGTGCTGAAAGTAACTACCCCCCCTCCAAATCAGGGCTGCCAGGAACTAAGTACTGGTTTAGCATTGGGTGAATTAAAGTACAAGGGGAGAAGTTGCTTTTTGGACGTCCGCTTGACAAAATGCATTAAAAGGCGTGGAGTCCTTAGTAGGAGGAGCGGATTAACGAGGAGGCGAACTGAAATTATGTTGGTTCCATGTTCCACGAGACTGGCCAAAAGGAAGGACAATGATCGGACGTGCTCTTCGCGTGTTCCTCCGGAAGTCATGTGAGTCATCTGCCCCCCCCCCCAAAAAAAAAGAAAGGAAAAAAAGAAAAAGAAAAAACAACAGAGCGAAGCCAGCATCTGCAAAGGAAAATGCCGATTTGGAGAGGGCAAATCACTCGAAAAGAGCTCGAAAATCACTCGCATCAGATCCACAGGGCCCGGACCAACCCAGGAACGCCAGGGCCTCACGGTGCCGGCCATTTGGCCTTCCCGTTGCGCCCCCCCGTTGCGCCCCCCCGTTGCGCCCCCCCGTTGCAACCCCCGTTGCGCCCCCCCGAGGCTCTCCCCAAAAGACATAACGGCAACCCCCTTTGCTCCAACTTCCCTAACCAAAAAATGCAAAAACAAATCCAGAAACCTACCCAGAGCTGCTGCTGACTCCGGAGCTTCTCGGTCAACCCCATATCTTCCGGTGGAAAAAAAGAGAATCAGTCAGACCAATTTGGGTGTGGCTCGAACAATGAAACCCGAACTGGCTCCTTGGGAAATGGAAACAAGGACTAAACCCGCGTAACCATAGGTCTGGAAGATTGAGCCACGCCCATTTGACAAGGGATCTGAAAAGGGGGGTTTGGGTTGCTTTAGCCCCGGAGAAATAAAATCCCGGTGGGCACGGGATCTGCGGCCTGCCTACGCCGATCATCAATCCCCACGCTGGTAAGCTGGATGTTGGCAGCAAAAACAGACAACAAGTTAGTTTATTCGGCGGCGGTTGTGTCAAACCTTCCCATCCAAAAATACTCTACAAAGGGCTCAAGGGAAACCAAGAAGGACTGGGCTGGTCCCAGGTCCCCTTCAAAGAGTCCAGAACTTGTCGCGGCTTAGTGGAAACTACCCTGGATGGACGAAATCCGTTTCGCACCACTTTAATACCATGGGAAACCACTGTTGGCATTTACAGGGGAATCGAATCATTCCAGTGGTTTCTCAGGTGATGCGAAATGGATTTCGCAACCATCCACAGTAACACCTACAACGCTAAGGAGCCGCGACTTTGCCTGTGGGCTTCGCCCTATCAATCCTTCACGGTGGGCACACTGGAGGCAAAACCATTGAACATGTGATTTCTTGGCTGGAATGAGGACCCCAGCAAAACAAAAATCCAAAT